AGTTCCTTACTTCACCTAGTAAGTTCCTTGCTTCACCTAGTAAGTTCCTTGCTTCACCTATGTAACAACATGTATTCTTTGTTGTTATTGTGGGTTCTTCAATATACTCATACGAGCAACAGTAGTTGTGAAACAATAACTTTATTTACACTTTGTACAGAGAATTAATAGATCCATAGTAAATCCATGGTCACAACTGGTATAAGTACAATCACAGTCAAGAAACAAAGTGTCGTAGTAACATCCTACATTCACAGCCACAGTCCTCAGGTTCAAGTTCTAGCACACAACACCCGTTCACCTTTTTGCTCCCCCTTTTATTCACCACTTTCTCTCCCCTTACGTACATGAGCGATCTCACCCAAAAGCATGAAACAACACATGACGATCGCTCAGACAGTCCTTCCGCTAGCCAGGTACTCTTCATTCATGCAAAACACAATATAATAAGGATACATAATTATACAGTCTGTGACACGTCCCCCCTTCAATTAAAATTTTGTGTAACAAAATTTATAAATACAATATTGGTAGGGCAGGATCATGTGCCAGACAACAAAATTTTTATACATCTCAAAAAACATGGAAAAATACATTCTTTGTAGACTAATGCACAAGCATTATGTGTAATGTATTCAAATATGAGAAAGAAAAACATTTCAATTACCAAGTAATTGTATAAACAAGACAAATGAGTTTAGTGAATTACCAAACTATAATACATAGTTGAAATTATCAAAGACTTAATTCAACTCATGAATTAAATAATTATATCCTATGTAGTAAAAAACTTCCTTAGCATCAAGGCATGTTATTACGACGCATGATTAATATACTTTGTTGTCTCCCCTAGTTGACCCATTTCAGACAAATCTAGGTCACAACACAACAACATTGCCTTTCACAGGTATGGCTAACACACAATTCATCATTGAGACTTCCGTCTTATTGTTATGCGGAATAATAGTCTCTAACTTTTACTTGATTTACTTTATTCACTGTTAATTAATAGTATAGAATAGGTTTAACATAATACAGTTTACAATCTTTTGAAATAGTACACAATTTATATTACTGATACAAATTGTTTGATATCCATATTTTACAGTTACAGACTGTATAATATTAATAAACTGTCAATTGATAATTTATCTTAGCATCCTCTATAGCATGAGTAATCGTTCTCGTGCAGTTGACGATGACCCGTATGCCATCTCTCCCTCAAATTGTAGCTTTTAGCTGTGCTACCATAATTATTTCCTAGAATTCGTGTAACTTGTGTTACTTCATTTGTTTTAATATTCTCTTCTGGTTTCTGAACAACGTCAGTAGTTATCTTGCTTTGTAAACGTTCGTTTGGTTCATCAACCAACTTGATATAAATATTATGGCATTGCTTTGGCCGCTCATAATACATCTTGCTTCGGTATCTTTCATTAGAACTTGATACATTATTTCTTAACTTACTGTATTTTTCACATGACTTTCTTTGTACATAATTGTTTCTTCTCTGATTTGCCAACCTATGCCAACATTGATTTTGGTAATGACCTGTTTTTCCGCAGTAAAAACATCTAGATTTTGGCTTCTTATAAACATGGTGACTGTATTCATAGTTTGCTAAATTTCTTTTTCTTTCATTCTGTGCATTAATGACATTAATGACATTCTTATTAACATGTTGACTGTATTCATAATTTGCTAAATTTCTTTTACTTTCATTCTGTGCATTAATGACATTGTAGTTTCTAGTTACTGTTTCATCTTTCTTAACTTCCTTGTGCTTCTTTATTGATTCTAATTCACACATAAATTTCTGTGTTAATTTCTCCATTTCTTTGTTAAATTTATCCTTGAGTTCTAGTATATCTTCTTTATAGTTTGACTCCAATTTTCGAAGTAAATCTTCAATAGGTACGTTCTCTTCATTGTGGCTTATTAAGTTCACTGATTCATTAATCATCATTAGTTTATCATGATTCCTGCCATTCTCCGATGGACTTATTAAATCATCACTGCCATTGACTGATGGGCTTATTAAATCATTTTGATTACTATTCTCTGATGGACTTATTTCTTTTTGACTGCCATTCTCTGATGGACTTACGATACAGCTTTCACTAATATTCTCGTGTACCTGCGTATCATTCAATAAAGAGTCAATCTTAAGACATTCTAATGTATCTGTCACCTTTAAATCATTATTAAGTTCACCCTCTGTTTTTTCCTTGGGTTTCAATTCTTCCTGGACTATGTTACTCTGTTCTTCATTCCAAAGGTTGCCAATATTTACTTCTTCAAGTTCTGCTTTTAATTCTATCTGTTCACTTTCTAATTTTGGTTCATTTGTGTCTGTTATAGCTTTCATTTCTAATAGTTCTTGTTCATATGCTAGTTCATGTAGGCCAACTTGTTTTTCCATAGTTTCAGCCCTTTTATCTGCTCTCTGTTTTCTGTTTCTTTTTTTCCGCTTTCCTTTTGGTTGTACAGTCTCTTCTACTTTATCTAATTCTGAAATGTCTTCTTCTTTATGCATATCTGTAATAGCTCTTGATCTATTACACACTATTTCTATCACATCATCTAGTTCTCTCAATACATTTCCATGAGCTCGTCGGGGTTGTTCTGGTACTTCGTCCCATGCTTCTTTTGCTTCTTCTATGTCTCTTGCAAGTCGATTGGTTGCCCAGGCTATCTGCTTATTCATCTTCTTAATGCCTTGCGCCCTCGCCATTTCCATATATTCTTCAAGTTCTGTTTCATGCTTGTGTTTTCGTTCATCATCTTCTATTTTCCAATTCCTTTCCTCTAACCTCCTAGCCCTCTCTTCTGCCTTCCTAGCCTTCTCTTCTTCTTTTTCTTCAGCTTTCGCCTTAGCAGCTTTTTCTTCTCTAGCCTTCTCTTCTTCTTTTCTCTCAGCTTTCTCTTTAGCAGCTTTCTCTTCATCTTTCTTTAGTAGTTCTTTTATAAATGCCAACCTGTCTTCCTTCGGAATGTCAAGTTCCTTCACAAGTGCTGTATATGTTTCAAAATTTGACATTTTGATATATTTTCTATGACATAAAATATAAATTCATTAGTTGACAATAGATAAATGTTAATTAATTTACAATACCCTTTCTTGTATTCTGGCTTTGTTCAGTTGATTAGAGACATCTAGTAATCCAAGAAAAGTTCATAGTACATATATAGTACAAGAATAGTTCACTTTGTTGATTCCAAAAAGTTGAAAAAAATTCAAAATAGTTCTAGTAGCCTGTTACAGAGTAGAAATTTGTCCAGTTTTAGATAAGACATCTTTAGGAACAGTTTAGGAACAGTTACAAAAATAAACTTGATCTGCTAAATCCAAACAGTAGAAAAACTTGAACAGCTAATCCATATAGAAAAAACTTGAACAGCTAAATCCAAACAGTAGAAAAGAAACACTAAGACTTGATCGGCTAAATCCAAACAGAAAAAACACACAGACGATATTTACTCGACATTGGTGAGACAATATCGAAATAAGGTGATAAAAATTATCACGTTGATGACTTGACTTGAACAAAACGTCTGACTTGACTACAGCAACCCTTCTGACTTGAGTGTAGATAGATGACTTTCAAGAACTTGACGTACTTGGTAAACAGTGGAAGACCACAGACTGTAATATCTCCATTTCTGACATATGTAGCACCAATTCTTCAACCACTTGTGACATCATAAGTAACAGTAATACAATGTAGCAACATCACTTTATTGCCTCCACTTCTGACACCATATGTAACAACATGTATTCTTTGTTGTTATTGTGGGTTCTTCAATATACTCATACGAGCAACAGTAGTTGTGAAACAATAACTTTATTTACACTTTGTACAGAGAATTAATAGATCCATAGTAAATCCATGGTCACAACTGGTATAAGTACAATCACAGTCAAGAAACAAAGTGTCGTAGTAACATCCTACATTCACAGCCACAGTCCTCAGGTTCAAGTTCTAGCACACAACACCCGTTCACCTTTTTGCTCCCCCTTTTATTCACCACTTTCTCTCCCCTTACGTACATGAGCGATCTCACCCAAAAGCATGAAACAACACATGACGATCGCTCAGACAGTCCTTCCGCTAGCCAGGTACTCTTCATTCATGCAAAACACAATATAATAAGGATACATAATTATACAGTCTGTGACAACCTAGTAAGTTCCTTGCTTCACCTAGTAAGTTCCTTGCTTCACCTAGTAAGTTCCTTGCTTCAGTACACCTAGTAAGTTCCTTGCTTCACCTAGTAAGTTCCTTGCTTCACCTAGTAAGTTCCTTGCTTTACCTAGTAAGTTCCTTGCTTCACCTAGTAAGTTCCTTGCTTCACCTAGTAAGTTCCTTGCTTCACCTAGTAAGTTCCTTGCTTCACCTATTAAGTTCCTTGCTTCACCTAGTTAGTTCCTTGCTTCACCTAGTAAGTTCCTTGCTTCACCTAGTAAGTTCCTTGCTTCACCTAGTAAGTTCCTTGCTTCACCTAGTAAGTTCCTTGCTTCAGTACACCTAGTAAGTTCCTTCCTTCAGTACACCTAGTAAGTTCCTTGCTTCACCTAGTAAGTTCCTTGCTTCACCTAGTAAGTTCCTTGCTTCACCTAGTAAGTTCCTTGCTTCAGTACACCTAGTAAGCTCCTTGCTTCACCTAGTAAGTTCCTTGCTTCACCTAGTAAGTTCATTGCTTCAGTACACCTAGTAAGTTCCTTACTTCACCTAGTAAGTTCCTTGCTTCACCTAGTAAGTTCCTTACTTCACCTAGTAAGTTCCTTACTTCACCTAGTAAGTTCCTTGCTTCACCTAGTAAGTTCCTTGCTTCACCTAGTTAGTTCCTTGCTTTAGTCCAACTAGTAAGTACCTTGCTTTATTACAACTGGTAGGCGCTTCTTTCAGTATGTGCTATCATACATGTGCTATCATGCATGTGCTATCATACATGTGCTGTCATACATGTGCTTTCAATGTAAACTTGCTACTCGACAGTTTGAGCTACCAAAGAAAAGTCAAGATCAAGCTTCAGTGTCGTACTTTTCAATGGTTTCTATCAAACATCTACCCACAGCTGCAGTAAGTCTGAAAATATTTTACCTATTCTTACTATCAACATATTATATATATATATATATATATATATATATATATATATATATATATATATATATATATATATATATATATATATATATATATATTATATATACTAGGCATACTGCCTAGCTTCGCTTAGGTTTTCAAAAACATTTGATAATTTGAATACTAATTATTTGGTGATGGATGAGGTGTGGAGTGCTTAAATTTAAACAGTAATGCTAATTTTAGAGAAGATGTTGTATGTTGTTCAACAATCGCTTTCAGAGCAAAAATTAGAAAGTATGCAATTTATAAATAAAATGGAATTAGAAATACAGAGGTTCCATTAACAGTATATCTCATAATTTATATTACATTGACTTTAAAAATTATTTTTTTATTTAATTATGATACGTAGCTTAATTAACAACTTATTAGGTTTAAAAAAAATGTTATACTTTGTCGTTTTCTGTTTCTGTTTAAAATAGTATACAATTATTTGAAAAATAATTATTAAAAAGGTTACCTCCCTTGAAAATGGACCGAATGACGTATTTTTTTGTTTACTTTTTTTAAAAACAGTTACTATGCTTATATTAAAAAATTGATATATGAACATATTTAACGACTACAATGGATTTTTTCGACGTGAATAACGTTTTTTTTTTGTTACCCTCCAGGGTCGGTCTACGACCTCAAATAATATTAAGGGGATCGTTCGTCAATTTATTTATATATATCTCATATATGGAGAATTTCACTCGCGGTCATCTTTTAGCCCTGCTCGAGGGCTTTGAGTCTGACCAACAGTTTTTCCATACGGCCTAGTCAGCTATAGAAGTGTAAGCAAAACATTAGCTTGATGTACAGAGGTTAAGTAACCTATAGCTTGTGTTTGAAATTCCCTGTTTTTCCCATAAAATACAAAGATTATATAGGGAAATACGACTGGTCAGTTTTGACCCATTTAACGAATTTTCCTGGACATGGCGAGTTTTTTGTGACACCCCCAGGCATTCTCCTACCACCTCACAAAATTTCAAGGGGGGTCGTCGGAGGAAATTTTTTTTCGTAATAGAGCTCATATAAAGAGAATTTCACTCGCGGTCACTTTTTAGCCCTCGTCGAGGGCTTTGAGTAACACCGACAGTTTTCCCTAAAGGTCAAGCCATTTACCTAAGAGTATGCAAAAACATTAGCCAGATATAAAGACGGTAAGTGCCCTAAAATCCGTTTTGAAATGACCCTCTGTTTTCCCCATAAAATACAAAGATTATATAGGGAAATACGACTGGTCAGTTTTGACCCATTTCCCGATTTTTCCCAGACATGGCAAGTTTTTTGTGACACCCCCAGGCATTCTCCTACCACCTCACAAAATTTCAAGGGGGGTCGTCGGAGGAAATTTTTTTTCGTAATATAGCTCATATAATGAGAATTTCACTCGCGGTCACTTTTTAGCCCTCGTCGAGGGCTTTGAGTAACACCGACAGTTTTCCCTAAAGGTCAAGCCATTTACCTAAGAGTATGCAAAAACATTAGCCAGATATAAAGACGGTAAGTGCCCTAAAATCCGTTTTGAAATGACCCTCTGTTTTCCCCATAAAATACAAAGATTATATAGGGAAATACGACTGGTCAGTTTTGACCCATTTCCCGATTTTTCCCAGACATGGCAAGTTTTTTGTGACACCCCCAGGCATTCTCCTACCACCTCACAAAATTTCAAGGGGGGTCGTCGGAGGAAATTTTTTTTCGTAATATAGCTCATATAATGAGAATTTCACTCGCGGTCACTTTTTAGCCCTCGTCGAGGGCTTTGAGTAACACCGACAGTTTTCCCTAAAGGTCAAGCCATTTACCTAAGAGTATGCAAAAACATTAGCCAGATATAAAGACGGTAAGTGCCCTAAAATCCGTTTTGAAATGACCCTCTGTTTTCCCCATAAAATACAAAGATTATATAGGGAAATACGACTGGTCAGTTTTGACCCATTTCCCGATTTTTCCCAGACATGGCAAGTTTTTTGTGACACCCCCAGGCATTCTCCTACCACCTCACAAAATTTCAAGGGGGGTCGTCGTCGGAAGAAACTTTTTTTCGTAATATAGCTTATATAATGAGAATTTCACTCGCGGTCACTTTTTAGCCCTCGTCGAGGGCTTTGAGTCAAATCGACAGTTTTCCCTAAAGGTCAAGCCATTGTCCTAAACGTATGCAAAAAATTAGCCAGATATACCGAGTTTAAGTACCATAAAGTCTGCGTTGAAATGACCCTGTTTTCCCCATAAAATACAAAGATTATATAGGGAAATACGACTGGTCAGTTTTGACCCATTTCCCGATTTTTCCCAGACATGGCAAGTTTTTTGTGACACCCCCAGGCATTCTCCTACCACCTCACAAAATTTCAAGGGGGGTCGTCGGAGGAAATTTTTTTTCGTAATAGAGCTCATATAAAGAGAATTTCACTCGCGGTCACTTTTTAGCCCTCATCGAGGGCTTTGAGTCAAACCGACAGTTTTCCCTAAAGGTCAAGCCATTTACCTAAGAGTATGCAAAAAATTAGACAGATATACTGAGTTTAAGTACCCTAAAGTCTGCGTTGAAATGACCCTCTGTTTTTCCCATAAAATACAAAGATTATATAGGGAAATACAACTGGTCAGTTTTGACCCCTTTACGAAGTTTTCCCAGATATGCCGAGTTTTTTGTGACACCCCAAGGCGTTCTCATACCACCTCACAAAATATTAAGGGGGGTCGTCGGAGGAATTTTTTTTTCGTAATATAGCCCATATAAGGCGCCGGTCAGTCGAGGTCAGTTTTGACCCCCTCTCCGTAGACTTTTCGGCCAACCGTCACCGGCCTTCGTGTTCTATCGCCCCAAGGCACCATCGTGCCAAATTTGACGCGCCTGCGGCGCCGGGAAGTGCCCTATCGGGCACCTGACCACTTTGCTTTATATATATATATATATATATATATATATATATATATATATATATATATATATATATATATATATATATATATATATATATATATATATATATATAACAAGCTTTTATGTAATAGTGCACTAAAAAGGATAACATGAATGATAAATATATATATATATATATATATATAATTCTCTTCATGGAGACCATAGAAAACACCACGCAGCTTAGTCACCACCCTCATCCCCACGTCAGGTGAGCTGTGGTTCACGCTAAATGTTTACAACCGTAGAGTCGGGTTAGTGACGGCTATTAGGGGCAGGTAATTTAGTATTAACCGATTCGAAACAAAGGGGGGGGGGTAACAATTTCTGATTGATCTTTTCTTTGTCTGTAAACGGCTGCTTTCACTGGGCGGGAGGGGGTGGTGTTGAATTCACAAATTATGAATAGCTGATAAGCAGAAAATAGAACGACGAGATAGCGGCGTATGCTACGTTGCGGGTCAGCTCGTATATAATAATACACCCCTATTTTAAATTACCATAAAGATAACGTGTATAACGTCGAGATTTCTGAAAATCTCGATTTCGATTTTTAGCAGGACTTCAATACTTCCTCTATACTTTGTATAAGGACTTCAATACTTCCTCTATACTTTGTATTAAGAACTTCAATACTTCCTCTATACTTTGTATAAGGACTTCAATACTTCCACTATACTTTGTATCAGGATTTCAATACTTCCTCTATACTTTGTATAAGGCCTTCAATACTTCCTCTATACTTTGTATAAGGACTTCAATACTTCCTCTATAATTTGTATAAGGACTTCAATACTTCCTTTATACTTTGCATCAGGATTTCAATACTTCCACTATACTTTGTATAAAAACTTCAATACTTCCACTATACTTTGTATCAGGATTTCAATACTTCCTCTATACTTTGTATATGAGAAAGTAAAAGGAATGGACATGATTCAGTTGACGAAAATCCTTCCATTATTATTGTTGGCATGGATGAAAATAAAATCAATCATGTCATTTTAGATTTTGCAATCAAAGAGACGGTAAAAATAAAGTACTTAAAAAAAACTTTGAAAAAAAAACACGTTTTTCTTGTGGACTAAAAAGTAGAAAATAACTATTTACATACATTTGATGACAAAAAACGTGGGTACGTTCACCATCAAATTTCCCGACCCATCTGCCCGACCCACGTTTTTTGTCATCAAATGTATGTAAATAGTTATTTTCTACTTTTTAGTCCACAAGAAAAACGTGGTTTTTTAAAAAGTTTTTTTTAAGTATTTTATTTTCTCCTTTTTAGTCCGTTGCTACACATGAAAAACGTGGTTTTTAAAAAAGTTTTTTATATAGTTTATTTTCTACTTTATATAATGACTTGATTAAGTATGACTTGACTAAGTGTTTATAAATACACGGACTAAAAATCTTGAGCGACCAGGATTCGAACCTGGGTTGTCGCGGCCACAACGCGAAGTACTAACCACTATACGATCACGGCCAGCGCGCTCACATCGATTGGGGCCGAAGTAACTGTGTCAATAGGCCTCCAGTCTTGTCGGTATCTTTAGAAATCATGTCCTCAATTTTATGGTCCTTAGGGCGTAATTAAATTAAGCTAATTACGGTCTCTAATTGCTAGTTTTTATGATTGCATCTGAAATTGTTAGGCGAAAGTAGCATGCATGCCAAATTTCAGATCTACAGAGCAATCAGAAGTGGGCTAATTTTCGATGTCAATTTTAACAACAAACAAACACACGCGAAGCTGAGGCAATAAAAACGTGTTAATAAATTTAAAAAGCCACATGTCTGAAAAATAATTGTTTGTTTTTGCTAAGCACTGCTTCCGATAAGAAAGAATAAAAAGAATAATTTATGATACCTTTATATAAAATTGTGTTCACCTAAGTGGTATGTGTGGGTGTTTTAGAAGAACCAGCTCAGTATATTGGCGGTCTTTGAGAGGAATTCTATTTCAAATGTTTTTTTAACATGAAATTTCGTCTGCCTAACTAAACAGTAATCGTGTCCCCTTTTAAGTGAAAATAGAGTAAAGAACTTTTTTCCGTTAACCGGAAAATCGTTCAAATGTTGAAAGAAACCTTTACATACAATTTAATACTTTTATTTCAAATTTCGTCCGCCTAACTGAAAAGGTTCCCAATTATAGGCTTTTGAGAAACCAGAAGTGGTATTACTCCATATATATATATATATATATATATATATATATATATATATATATATATATATATATATATATATATATATATATATATATATATGGAGTTTGAGCCCGGACCCCGCCCACCCCTGCTTACCGTGCCACCTTATCGTCTGCTACAGGCCACTTGTGACTGATGAGGTTGTTTATGGCCACATTAAACAGGGTCAGATGTGTATTGACCTTGACCCAGGTCAACTACCTTTGGTGGCCAAACTTAGAGAATGTGACGTCATGAAAGATTCGCAGGTGAGTAGGTCAGACATGGGTCTTAGTAGGTCAGACATGGGTCTTAGTAGGTCAGACATGGGTCTTAGTAGGTCAGACATGGGTCTTAGTAGGTCAGACATGGGTCTTAGTAGGTCAGACATGGGTCTTAGTAGGTCAGACATGGGTCTTAGTAGGTCAGACATGGGTCTTAGTAGGTCAGACATGGGTCTTAGTAGGTCAGACATGGGTCTTAGTAGGTCAGACATGGGTCTTAGTGGGTCAGACATGGGTCTTAGTAGGTCAGACATGGGTCTTAGTAGGTCAGACATGGGTCTTAGTAGGTCAGACATGGGTCTTAGTAGGTCAGACATGGGTCTTAGTAGGTCAGACATGGGTCTTAGTAGGTCAGACATGGGTCTTAGTAGGTCAGACATGGGTCTGAGCCTGACTAGACCTGGGGCCACTCATCATTAGACCTGGGGCCACTCATCATTAGACCTGGGGCCACTCATCATTAGACCTGGGGCCACTCATCATTAGACCTGGGGCCACTCATCATTAGACCTGGGGCCACTCATCATTACACCTGGGGCCACCCATCATTACACCTGGGGCCACCCATCTGATTTGTTTGCTAGGAGTGGTCCTGGAGAAGGAGTGGCCTGATAGTTTCCAATGGGATGTGCCTGACCTCTGACCTCCTCACTATGCAAGGATTTGTTTTGGTCCAGTTCTGCAAGGAAGCCAGCAATCAGGTGAGGATATGTTTACACCCCCCACCCAATCCCTCATCTACACCCAGTATAAGGCCTACACCCCCCAATAAAAGACCTGCACCCCCCAATCCAAGAACTACCCCAATCTAAGACCTACACCGACACCTCCCAATCTAAGAGCTACCCTAATCTAAGAGCTACCCCAATTTAAGAGCTACCCAAATCTAAGAGCTACCCCAATCTAAGAGCTACTCCAATCTAAGAGCTACCCCAATTTAAGACCTACCCCCTAATCTAAGAGCTACCCCAATCTAAGAGCTACCCCAATCTAAGAGCTACCTCAATCTAATAGCTACCCCAATCTAAAAGCTACCCCAATCTAAGAGCTACCCCCCAATCTAAGAGCTACCCCCCCCCCCAATCTAAAAGCTACCCCAATCTAAGAGCTACCCCCCCCCAATCTAAGAGCTACCCCCCAATCTAAGAGCTACCCCAATCTAAGAGCTACCCCAATCTAAGAGCTACCCCAATCTAAGAGCTACCCCAATCTAAGAGCTCCCCCAATTTAAGACCTACCCCCTAATCTAAGAGCTACCCCAATCTAAGAGCTACCCCAATCTAAGAGCTACCCCAATCTAAGAGCTACCCCAATCTAAGAGCTACCCCCCAATCTAAAAGCTACCCCAATCTAAGAGCTACCCCCCCAATCTAAGAGCTACCCCCCCCCCAATCTAAGAGCTACCCCAATCTAAGAGCTCCCCCAATTTAAGACCTACCCCCTAATCTAAGAGCTACCCCAATCTAAGAGCTACCCCAATCTAAGAGCTACCCCAATCTAAGAGCTACCCCAATCTAAGAGCTACCCCAATCTAAAAGCTACCCCAATCTAAGAGCTACCCCAATCTAAGAGCTACCCCCCAATATAAAAGCTACCCCAATCTAAGAGCTACCCCCCCCCCAATCTAAGAGCTACCCCAATCTAAGAGCTACCCCAATCTAAGAGCTACCCCAATCTAAAAGCTACCCCAATCTAAGAGCTACCCCAATCTAAGAGCTACCTCCCAATCTAAAAGCTACCCCAATCTAAGAGCTACCCCCCTAATCTAAGAGCTACCCCAATCTAAGAGCTACCCCCCCCCCCCAATCTAAAAGCTACCCCAATCTAAGAGCTACCCCCCCCCCAATCTAAGAGCTACCCCCCAATCTAAGAGCTACCCCAATCTAAGAGCTACCCCAATCTAAGAGCTACCCCAATCTAAGAGCTACCCCAATCTAAGAGCTACCCCAATCTAAGAGCTACCTCCCCCCCCCCCCAATCTAAGAGCTACCCCCCAATCTAAGAGCTACCCCAATCTAAGAGCTACCCCAATCTAAGAGCTACCCCAATCTAAGAGCTACCCCAATCTAAGAGCTACCCCAATCTAAGAGCTACCCCAATCTAAGAGCTACCCCCCCCAATCTAAGAGCTACCCCCCAATCTAAGAGCTACCCCAATCTAAGAGCTACCCCAATCTAAGAGCTACCCCAATCTAAGAGCTACCCCAATCTAAGAGCTACCCCAATCTAAGAGCTACCCCAATCTAAGAGCTACCCCCCCCCAATCTAAGAGCTGCCCCCCCCCAATCTAAGAGCTACCCCAATCTAAGAGCTACCCCAATCTAAGAGCTACCCCAATCTAAGAGCTACCCCAATCTAAGAGCTACCCCCCCAATCTAAGAGCTACCCCCCCCCCAATCTAAGAGCTACCCCAATCTAAGAGCTACCTCAATCTAAAAGCTACTCCAATCTAAGAGCTACCCCAATCTAAGAGCTACCCCAATCTAAGAGCTACCCCAATCTAAGAGCTACCCCCCCAATCTAAGAGCTGCCCCCCCCCAATCTAAGAGCTACCCCAATCTAAGAGCTACCCCCCCAATCTAAGAGCTACCCCAATCTAAGAGCTACCCCAATCTAAGAGCTACCCCAATCTAAGAGCTACCCCAATCTAAGAGCTACCCCCCCCCCCAATCTAAGAGCTGCCCCCCCAATCTAAGAGCTACCCCAATCTAAGAGCTACCCCCCCCAATCTAAGAGCTACCCCAATCTAAGACCTACCCCCCCCCCCTCCAATCAGCAGATGTGGTATAGACACGCGGAGAAAATTGTTCACGCAGACACCAACTTGTGCCTGGACGGGACTGAATGGCAGACAGGGGTCAAGGTCACAGACTGCATTAAGGGAGATGAAGGTCAAGCTTGGGACATTGGTCCACTGCAATGATGGAAGTTGGTACAGTGGGAGTTGGTACAGTGGGAGTTGGTACAGTGGGAGTTGGTACAGTGGGAGTTGGTACAGTGGGAGTTGGTACAGTGGGAGTTGGTACAGTAAGTACAGTGGGAGTTGATACAGTGGGAGTTGGTACAGTGGGAGTTGGTACAGTAAGTACAGTGGGAGTTGATACAGTGGGAGTTGGTACAGTGGGAGTTGGTACAGTAAGTACAGTGGGAGTTGATACAGTGGTCTGCATTCAGATTTTTTTTCAGGCATCTGTTAGTGGAGGGGCGAAGTAATCCCGACCACCCCCTCCCCCGTAGAACGTCTACCGCGCCCCAACCTCCACACACCGATCGAAATAGAATCTAGATCCCCCCGGTTAGTTTAGTGTCCCCCCCCCCCCCCCCTTGAAAATTTCAAGTCCCTCCCATTGGGGAAAAAAGTCTGAAAGAAACACTGTGCATGATTGATGTTTAGCGGCCAAAAGTAGAAAACAGTAGGGTCTACCTTTATTCTGTATGATCTACAACAGCGACTAGTGTTTCTTTCAGACTTTTGTCTCCCCGGGGAATGGGGGGGGGGGTACTTGGAATTTTCAGGGGTGGGGTGGACTAAATTTTCCAGGGAGGGGGGCGGACACTGGCAAAAGTATATTTTCTATATAAATTATATTTCCTTTTAGGAGTCTGGGGTATGACAGTATGACTACGACTATATTTAGTATGAATATGCACTACGTATAGATCAAGGTTAAATAGGGTTAAAGTGGGTTAAATAGGGTTAACGTGCCGATACTGGGTAAAGATCCGTTTTCAATTAGATTTTTCGTTTCCAGTTAAATTTGTAGCTGAGTTGGTGATTTTGGTTTTGTTTTAGAGAAAAAGACAAAACTAACAACCAAGCGCCCGTTGTATTTCTTCCTCAACGGGCCATTTATCTAGTTAATAAATTTATGTATATAAATGATGTATATTATTAATATATATTTGTATATAGGCTAAATGTTCTATATTATTAATAAATATTAATATATAAATGATGTATATTATTAATAAATATTTGTATATAAATTATATATATTATTAATAAATATTTTTGTATAAATTATATATATTATTAATAATATTTGTATATAAATGATGTTTATAATAAATAATTCTCTCTTTTGCCCTTAAGTTTTTGCCTCAAATCAATCAGGATATTGTCCGTTGACACAGCCAAGAATCACTGTTGTCAATGTGGTGCTTGCAGGCACGTTTAAGAGGATTTTTGTGTTTGCTAAAGTGCTTAATTTAATAACGAACCCATGGGAAAATTTATAGCAATCAAAATAACCGCATTAAAAATAACCGAAAATTGGCCTGGACTGACTGATTCTTTTAAAACTATACAATTTTAAAAGTGCTCGAAGTAGGTTTACCACTTGCAACTAAGACACAATCCTACTCTTAGGTTCTTGAATTAGATACATCATTTGCAACTAAGACACAATCCTGCTCTTTGGTTCTTGAGTTAGATATATCACTTGCAACTAAGACACAATCCTGCTCTTTGGTTCTTGAGTTAGATACATCATTTGCAACTAAGACACAATCCTGCTCTTACGTTCTTTAATTAGATACATCACTTGCAACTAAGACACAATCCAAGTACACTGAACGTACTGTTTACTAATAATTATTTTTAATTAATAACAGTTTAGAAGTCGCTCTTAAATGTCCTCTATGTTTACTTCTATCTTTCGGTTTGCGGACAAGCTGGGTTTTTTTTATAGTCGTTCACTTAATTAATTCAGGCGCGTCCGCCGGCGTTCGGGCTAGGTTCGATTTTGCGCGATGGACTATCCTGTGTGCGTTATGGGTTAGGCCAGGGCTTGACTATGAGCACTATGCGTTTATGTTTGCACTTGAGTTTGTGTTTATGCACTACGTTGTTTGCGTTTAAGTGTTGAATTTGCATAAGCGTTTCTAATTGCTTTTTCGGTTGTTTTTTATTTGCGTTGTGTTTGTTTTCTGTTTAGTTTGTTTGCTTTTGTGTTTGTGTTTAGTTTTGTAAGTTTTGTTCTGTTCCATAGTTGGTACATTTTAAAAAGTTTCCCCAAGTCGGAGCACGGGTACATCGGTATAGCCACTTTGTCTTCGTAAAAGCTGGAGGGTCATACATGTGGAAGTCTCTTCCTAGGCGCGGACGTCCGGGTAAACATGTTGTTTGGCGGCGGTTCAGATCACACCTCGGGTCTAGTGGAGAAATCTGGGCGGACGTCCGGGTAAACATGTTGTTTGGCGGCGGTTCAGATCACACCTCTGGTCTAGTGGAGAAATCTGGGCGGACGTCCGTGGTAAACATGTTGGTTGGCGGCGGTTCAGATCACACCCCGGGTCTAGTGGAGAAATCTGGGCGGACGTCCGGGTAAACATGTTGTTTGGCGGCGGTTCAGATCACACCTCGGGTCTAGTGGAGAAATCTGGGCGGACGTCCGGGTAAACATGTTGTTTGGCGGCGGTTCAGATCACACCTCGGGTCTAGTGGAGAAATCTGGGCGGACGTCCGGGTAAACATGTTGTTTGGCGGCGGTTCAGATCACACCTCGGGTCTAGTGGAGAAATCTTGGCGGACGTCAGTCACAGGGTTGGCTCATAGTTTTTTAATTTTCTTAAATATCCATATTCACACCAAACCCGCGCGCAGCACGATATCCGCCCAATCCGGGGACCAACACCCGCGCCCAGCGTGGTGCTATGAGGTAATATACATAATATACATATCTACAACGTAGCAAAGCACGGGTATAAGCTAATATATATATATATATATATATATATATATATATATATATATATATATATATATATATATATATATATAAAATTTATAATATAACGCTGGTGGTAGTGTGTCAGTCCTCGTGTCATCGCTATAGTTGGTACATTTAAAAAAGATTCACCGTGGCGGAGCACGGGTATACAGCTATACACTGATTAAGGTATTCTAAATACGTTTTGTACATATATATGGTTCCAGAGACTAAAAATAATTTCAACAAAACAAATGTCTGTATGTTCATAGCTGTAGTCAGATCTACTGTAGGTGTAACAATTGTATCAAATAATTTTAAGACACATGTTTGAAGTATCCAACGTTCATGTTAGAGTCAAACAAGCGTTGTTCTTTTATCAGGTAATTTTTGGCAATTTAAAAAAATGTACACAATTTGAGTTTTTACAAGCTTTTATTTAAACTTGCTTTCTCTGCCTGTCTGTGTGTCTATCATTTGTCATGGATCGAAACTGTCGATCACTTCTAACTGGTTTCAATCTTAGCACGTGAGTCAAGATCCCGGTGACGATGTTATCTGATATTGACTTTACTGGGTGCTTAATTAGTTTTTTAAAAATAATTAATTAAATCACATTTTTCCTGTTCATTTGGTGCGCAATTGTTTTTAGTCATGCAACTCTATTGTCTATCTATATATATAATTCTCTTCTGGGAGCCTTTAGAAAACAAGCTGCAAGCGCGCCTTACAGTCCCCTCTCTTCCTCTCTAATCTCTATCGCTACCACCCCCAACCCCCTCACATGGCCTGCTGAGCTGTGGTTCACGCTGTTTACATTTTACAATCATAGAGACGGGTTTGGTGACGGCTATTAGGGGAAGATAATTTAGTTTGAAACGATTGTAAACTTAGAGGAGGTAACTAAGAGGAGGCTGCTTTCGGGGGGAGGGGGGGGGGGTTTAGTGGTTTTAAGCAAATTTTTTCAGTGGCATTATTGGTACTGTCGAATTCACAAATTATAAATTACTGAAAAGTAGAGGAAAAAAACTAAATAGCGGCGTATGATACGCAGCGGGTCGGCTCGTATATATAATTCTCTTCTGGGAGACGCTAGAAAACAAGCTGTAAACGCGCTCCCTACCATCCCCACCCCTACATGGTCTGAGTGAGCTGTGGTTCACGCTATGTTTATCTTCGTGGAGTCGGGTTTAGTGACGGCTATTAGGGGCAGATAATTTAGTTTGAAACGATTTTAAACGTTGGGAGGGGGGGGGGTTATGGTCCTTAACGAGCTACTTATAGTGTTTTAAAGAAATATTTTCAGTGTCAGCATTGGTACTGTCGAATTCACAAATTATGAATTACTGAAAAGTAGAAAAAACAACAACTAAATAGCGGCGTATGTTATGCCGCGGGCCGGCTCGTACTAAAAAAACTCATGAGTCTATGTCACTCACTATAACGAACGTAGGCGCCATAGCGCTTCCGGGGTGGCTGTGGGCGCCAAATAGCACCCTGTCGGTGCGCCGGAAGACGCACTCGATTCGATTTAATGAAGGACTATGATAACCCTTCTTATCCATAGTCTATCGCACTGTTTAAAACGAACATAAGTGCCATAGCGCTCACGGGAAGGCCTGAGGCGCCAAATAACGCCTTGTCGGGACGCCCTGGATTCGATTTGGTGAACGACTATGGTAACCTTTTTATTCACAGCCTATCGCACTCTTTAAAAAGAACTTATTCATCATAGCGCTCACATGATAAGCCCGAGGGCGCCTAGATGCGGAATTCCTAAGTCGTGCTCGAAACCTACAGACCAGGGGCGGGTTCAACTTGAGCGGGGCCCCCGGCTGAAATTTTTGGGGGCATCTCTCTATATATAAATACGCTAGTATTCAAAGATAGGAAAAAAATGACAACTGATGGGGATTTAGCAAGAGAATTTATACACGTTTGTATTTGGTGGCTCATTTAGTATTATCTAAGAGACTGGAGCTTGGATAACCGCATAAACATATGTAACATAAACTAGTCTAAATCAATCAGAAAACCAAGAAAAGACTAGATCTGTTTGGCACATGAAATAAAAAAAAGACAAGAAATGACTTATAGAAAATCTCTTCTACAGAATATAAAAGAAAACAAAGAATATCTCAAATCATCCTACGTGGAATGTTCTTGGTTGGACAAAGGCTATGGAAGCAAATCCAAAAAAGAAAAGCAGGCTGAAATCGGAGTCAATGGCCTCAATGGCGCATAACCAATTGACACGTAACGCTTAATTGTGTTGGAGGCGTGGTCGAGTCGGCAAAAAGCTCATGGTTGATAAATTCGAACAAAGTCTCGAGTTCAAACCCACTGGCAGATAAATCTCGATCCCCTTCAACACTAATAATTAAGAACGGAGAAGAAGAAGAAGACCCTACGTGGAACAATCATGAATATTTTCAGTATATTTAAATACTAGCGCCATAATGCATTGACTAACAAAAGCGCAATTAGGCTAGCGAAGCTTTTGCTAGGGGTGTGTTTATATTTGTTCTTAATGAAAATAAAAAATATTATAAAATAGCGAAACATACAGGAGAATAATATTCAATTACAACTTCATTACTTGAGGAGTATAAATCCAGGATACATGTGTTACAACGCTGGTATTACAACTACGGTACTTTTAAAATCGTGCTTGATTTTTAACTTTGTCTTATCTTTTAAAAATCGTAACTATACGAAAATTTGATTCAGATAACACAATTGAGAACCATACCACGTTTATCCCACTTGTGTGTACACGAGTGCTTGGCTGATATTGCTGTA